AGCCGTGAGAGGAAAGGAGGGTGACGTGTTCGTTCGCGTATGTAAAGTATAAAAAACACTAGTCATTTTTATCACTTTGATAAGGTACTCCTGTGTGAGTGCTAATTAAAAAAACGATTAATTCCGTTTTATGATTAATCATGACTTTAATATGTTTGTTGTGACAACTGCAAACAGGGTACCGTATACGCAAGTTTTGATTTTGTATGCACAAATAGGGGGATCAAACTCATAAATTCAAAAACGTAGCTATCTAATTGTTATATTCAGCGGTCTGTGGTAAAATTGCATTGCATTTAAATGGCTTGGTTTCGTACGGAAAACACTCTTACGTACTTAGGTTCGCAAATGACGTGAAGTGGTTTCGCAGGTCACCTGAATCACATACTGTACTTTGCTGCAGGACGATCTTAATTCAGTGGTAGAATGGTGGAGTTCTAACAATCTTTTAATTAATCACCGCAGAACGAATGTAATGTCCCTGTCGAGAAAGCATAACAATTTATCCTATGTACATATTCTGGAAAATGAAACTATATGCCGGGCCATGGAGATAAGAGACCTAGGTGTTCTTCTGGACGACCACCACTTTTTCCATTCTCATGTAAACTTTATTTTTAGCAAGTTATTACGTGTGCTGGGAATAATCCATCGCTTAAGTAGATCATTTATCACTTATCTCTGTCTTTTGAGAATATACACTATCGATGTGCGTCCAAAACTAGAATTGGCATCTGTGATGTGGAACTCCATCTCTATTACAGCAAGTGAAACTGTAGAACATGTACAAAAGCGATTTGTGCGCATCATTCACGACGTATATTTTGGAAGAAAGTGTTTTTATGAGTATAATTCGATTTAAGCAAAATTAACATTGTGCACCTTATGCAAAAAAAGGTATTTTCGGGATGTTCACTTTTACATAGGCTAATTCATAGTGAAGTAGCAACCCTACTCTCCTCACTTTTCTTCACTGTCGCATTCCACTTAGAAGAAACCCTAGAAATCCAAGAGTATTACCTCGTTCGAAACGCATCACCGGTTTTGAGTATCCAACATGTTTTAAACACGCAATTTATTGACGTCGATATTTTTTGTAGAAGCCTGTCTTTTGGAGAACAATACTTTTTATGCGTGTTTATAATTGGCATAGAGACATGCTATTGTGCTTGCATATTTTTACGCAACTCTCTATTTTGTGCGTATTTCAGGTTTGTGTGTTTAACCCACTGGGCTTTCGAGCTGTTTTTAACACAAGGGGGAAATAAATATTTATTTTATTTTATTTTGTTTGATAATTATTTACTTATAGGTTGGTATATTTGTGGTTTACAAAGCACACTCCGCCTTGCGGTTTTTATTACCTGGAACATTGGGAGGTGCGTGCACATTTACAGGTTGCGGCCGCAGGAACTAATATATTTGGCACGCATTGGAATATTCCAATTTCAAACTTACGGACGTGAAATTAGTCACACGAACGCAGCTTGGGAAGATGATTTTTTTCTAGTTATTTTAGAGCTGGTTAGAAACGAAAAAAAAAATTAAATATTAAAATTCGGAAGTGCATTTTCTATGCCCTGTACCGGGTGTTTGTCGTCTGCTAACTGGTTTGTGAGCTTGTTCTCAAGTGGTCATTGTTCATATATTTTATTAAAAGAAAATATTGTCGCGATTATCTTCCTCACCACAGCTTCTCCGATTGGTATTTAGCGTTTTTGCGTTCAGCAAGTCACCCAGGAGCAGACTTGGGAAGTAATCCGTTACAAGTATCGAATTACTTGCAATCCGTTACTTATTCAAGTAACTTTGTAATTGCCACGTTACTTTTTTTCGGAAGTAATTTGTAATGTAGTTTCGTTACAACATATTGGTAACGGATTACTTTAATTACTCGTTACTTTAAAAAAAATATCAGCATAATGCGGTAGCTGGAGAAGTACGAGCAGAACATTCAGCAGCATAAGGAGAGCAAGTTCAACAAAATAGAACACATCAGGAAGGGGAGAATAGCCGAAAAGAAAACACGATTGTTTGCATGACCGGTCACTAGAATCACTAGAAAAACGGGAAAGGCGTGTACAAATATACGAAAGACAAAGATCAAGTAAGACAACGCCGAGTAGGCTCTCCGTCGCTTTTTATCGTGTTTTTCTTCTCTCGGGAGGGAGAAAGCTCTTCGTGCATGTTTGTTTTTTGTCTTTTACACCGTTTCACTCTTTCCAACTCCGTTGACGTCTCCAGCCACCTGCACTGACATCAAACACGGGTCCGTACCCTCTCGAATCGCAGTTTGACAACTCTCGTAACAGACGATGTAGCCTCGCGCTAGGGGGTCGAAGTCTCTTCGTCTTTGATGTGCGCTACTTCATTCTAGCACCCTCTTGAGGCACGACTGAAAAGTGCCCGGCGCGAGGCTAACGGCATCGTTTTCGAGCGTACGAACGATACCTCTTTTGGTTTACTTGTCTAGGCATGGGTCGAGTCTACTCATCATTTTGCGGGAAAAGGGGGGGGGGGTTTGGTTATTGAAGGAGTGCTGACAGAGAGAGAGAGAGAACGCGCAGAAGTGGTGTAATCGTCTATTGTTTTGTGAGCCCGATGGCCACCGCTTCTCTCGCTCTCTATGCCCTCCCCTACCCTGACCTTCAAGAATATTGGTATGAAAGTGAGATCCGATGAATCATCGATGACCCCATAACCGACTCTTTTTCTCTGACTGGTCGAGTTTTCGGTCAGAGAGTGTACGTCGTCCCAATGGCCATCTCTTAAAGAGATGTTCAAAATTCAGGGCATTATAGAAAACGGAAAACTAGAGTTTCAGAGCATACTTTGCTTGCTGAAAAAAAAAACACATTGTCACCAGCAAAGACAGCAAGCTCTAATCTACGGAAACACTTCAACGTAACCTGGGATACCTGCATTCTGGATTGGCTATATATTGTAACTTTAGAACCAAGTCTTTCTTTTCTCGTGCATAACAGGCGAAACACCCGAGTTTATAGGGAGCTTTCGTAGATTACTTCTTTAGCTCCGAATCTCGTAACGGAGGTAGACGCTGCTACTGAGCATGCGCACCGCTAGCTTTGTCTGCACAATTCCGAGGGTCACTTCCGGAGGCCGTAAACTAGCGAGATGGCACGTACGGTGGCAACTTTTGGTGCCTTGTCAGCTCACGGGTGAAAGGAGTGCACCTACACTCTTTCTCTTAGATACGATACAAGGAATATATACAAGGATTACCATAATACGGCCGTATGAGAAATGAAAAGTAGCGTTGCAGAACATTTTTGAAAAATATCAAAATTGTTTCTTTTGTTTTCTGGCTAAGGGAACAGAAAAAGTAACATGAACAAAATTTGAAACGTAATGACTAAAGTAATCCATGACTTTTCCGCGAAAGTAATTTCTAACGGTAATCCATTACATTTCAGGCATGTACTTTGTAATTGTAATTTATTACATTTTCAAGTAACGATCACAAGTCTTACCAGGAGCGAGCTCATGAACCAGAGAGTAGACGACAACAAGTCTGGTATAGGAACTAATGAAATACGCGGCCTACGATTTTGCTTTTTTTTAAATATTTAACTATCTGATAATTGAGCTGTTTAATGCTCACATAAAGCTTCTGGTGAAACTAGGTTCGCGTGCTCTATTTCAGATGTATACGTTTGGAATTTGAATTTCGCAAGTCGCGTTAAATGTGTTAGTTTTAAAGGCCGTACCATGCGTGTAATGCCTTCCTCCAGTCCTCATTGCATTGTGTTTCCATTGGACTAGAAAAAATGCGATTTTAACGAAATCTGAATTAACGATCATTGTGTAATTTGATGACTTAAAAGAAAACGTTCTCGCGTAGAGCCGTCTTGGCTTTCATGAACCTCGATTCAAAGGCGTTGTTGTCAATCATGGCATATTCAGACACGCGATTTTGGTGTCACATATACAGCGACCAGATTTGTCATTTCGATAGTTAAACATATATTCACGGTATGGGCTATCGCATGATAGTTTGCAGTTACCTACGGAAAGATGTCCTGATCTTCCCAGCGCCTCCAATAACGGAATGCACATTCGCTTATCCAAGTTTCCAGGCGTCGAAGTTTTAAACGAGGAAAAGTTTGAACATTTTTTTTACTTCTTTGGACATACTATTTGTGGGGATTGTTTCGTTCGTGAAGATAACCTACTCATCATCAAAGAACATTTCTACAAATTGCGGGATGTGGATGCACTTTTGGCGTATGCGCACAAACAAAACTAGTCTTGAATAAACACTCTACATCATCGTCGCCAGATCTGTCCTGTGTGGTGTTGTCATTAAACGCAAGTTCTGACTTCTTTGGTTGATATTTATATATATACATTGTGCCTACAATCTGTGAGACTCGTATCTTCATCCGCCGATACCTAGAAGTACCTAAAACATTGTACATTATACCTAGTATCTAGAACGATGTACCAATACCTAGAACACTCTAATTTATAATAGGATGTTGTAATATTTTTGCATTTGTACTCCGCACGCCGGTATACGTACTGAAATGATACGTTGTTTTACCTAGAATTTGTTTTTAAATAATCTATCAAAATACAATTTGAGGGTCTTTAGCTGCGCGTGCGGCTTTTAACAAAAACAATAAAGATATCAAAACGTTATTATTTTTATTACCCTTAGCTCGATTTCTAAAAGTTCACTGAAATAAATGATAACATGGCCATGACCTTCATTTTAGATAAATGACGCAAACATGCGACCATGAAAAAAAAAACTAGTCACGTCCGTTGCAAAGCAATAAACATATCATCAAGAAACATAACAAATAAAATAATTAAATGATTGTCATGAGGGTGATCCGACAAACGGATGTCCTGCACATGTCAGTTCAATCAGAAAGCGCAATGTTTCAATATATATTAAAGTGGAGTTGGCGAGAGAACTCAGAAAACGCGAACAAGAATTGAGTGTAGGAAAGTTAATTTCGCCCATACAAAAAATGTATTTTGCTCTTTTCGGAATAACGGCTTTTCTAGGCCTGCGCTATTCTAGTGCTGGTACACCATACCTAGATCAAAATCCAGCGCTCCAAGAGTATCAGGATCATGCTTCGGTACACTTTCAATCTCACCCTATATGGCAGAGTTCAGCAGAAGTCGCCAAATGTAGAACAGTAAGAAATACTATGACAAGTAATAGTGTTCAAACCATGTTTAAAATTTTCAGATCTTTCCCCTTGAAGAGGCCTGGTACATTGCCTACAGAAACTTCGAATCAGATCCAGTCTTTGGTGGCAAAGCTAAATGCGTCAGATTCAGCTCGAATGGTGTAGGAGAAGACGGCGCTTACCCTGTGGTTTTTCAGTATGCTCCAAGCTTTTCTGCGTAAGTAACATTACCTAGAATAAACACGTTTTACCAATAGTTCCTTTTTACACAAAGTGTTCCCTCTATGGCTCACTTAAGTTGTGAATGTGAAGGTGCAATATCAAAAGAAAAAAAACACATTATGTGAAATCCAAACTCCTGCGGCTTCCCTTTTCTATAGCTCCTGTGCAAACATAGAATGGGAAAGAATAACAATGCTAGCAATATCTTAAATGCGTCTGTAAAAAATCTACAACAAATGCGTACTAGGAAATACAACCGCGAGCTAATCTTCCCTTTGTTGAAAGCCAAGTAGCTGGTCTTTTCGCAAGACTAGCGTAAAATATGTCCCATAAAAGTTTTCTGAATGTTAATATATTCAAATTGTTACTGAATAGCACGGCACTTTACAAAACAATGAAATCGTGGAAAACATTAATCAAAGCATCAGAAACGTGTTAAATCATTCTCGATGTTCTTCAATGGAAAGCTTAAACAAACCTTGCAAGCGTCCTTATGTGCCTCTCAGTTCATTAACTACACAATACCTCTCTCCAGAGCCGTATATGTAGAGAGTCAATGGGAGGTGCGGGCAGAGCCAGGGCGTGTGGAAGACTCGGAAAGAGGGCTTGTCATGCTCGCTTGACCAACCAGAAGCCGAAAAGAATCCCCTAGCAGTGGTAGCGACAAACAGTTCTGATCAAAGGTCTATGTTCGTTAATGGTTTTAATAAGCGCGTGAGAGTGAAATGTAGTAACTTTTTGTGGTTGAAAGTAGGGTGCATGCAGAAAGATGTAAGAAACGAATGCGCCGCGCAACTCTAGCGCGGACAGAGTGTGAGCGTTCGGACGGCAGATTCGCGGCCATCGGCGCTTGGCGTACGGATTATGTCGATCGTTCCGCCAGTCGCACTCTTCCACCATCATTTTGGACGAACGTGATTGAAACATCACGTGTACCATATTTTCAGCCATTGAGAGTTACTCCAATGCAGTTCTCAGGTTTGTTTCTGGCGACCACCGCCAGGGTATTATTTCGAGCTTCTGGTTGGTCACATTCAAATTTCTGAAGACGCCCTGGAACACGCCGAGCCCGCTTTCGGCCAATGACGCCTCCTCATTTGTCTCCTATACTTCCCAACAAATGGCCAAACTCTCTACATATACGGCTCTGCCTCTCTCTTCCTAGAATAAACTACGTACTAATGAATAATACACTGTACTGTTTGAAACTATTAAGGTAATTTTATGACATTATTTTTTTGGGGATGTCACTAATTAATCTTAACTTACAGTACAATAAGCGAAACTATTCAACTCTAAATGAGTATCTGCACACCCTCCATTCTAGTACAGCTGGGGAATTTGGTATCTGATTAAAAACCTAACTCAAATATTTTCTGCAATCAACCGACATTGCATTTGGCATACCCAGCTTTAAATAATGTTAATGACGCCCGGTCATTTTCTTTCAGAAATGCAACAATTACCTTCAGCTTATCTCCAGGATATACTATAAAAAACGTTGCGAATTTCGAGGATCAAGGTCGTGAGTAAAACATTCAAACCTTTCTGCCATGAGTATTACTTGTACATGCTATGCGTCTTAGCAGTTATTTTAATTTTCTCTTAACAAAAACGCAATACACATTGGTGAGTAAACGTACACACTTTCAAAGGCTTAGTGGAACTAAAATAAGAAATAGCCCTCTCCACACGATTAAGCATTGCACACCTAAGCTAGACATCTTAAAGCTATAAACCTGACGACCCAATTTTAACAAAAAAACCTACTAAAAAGTTGCACTCCAAACTTTCCTTGAAGTTTAGCTGAATGATGATAAATTAAGATGATATATGTTGAATACACTTAAGATCACTTAACCGAACGACAAGAGATGAGTGCAGAAGTTATTTTCACTGCCAAAAAAAAATCTGTGGAAGTTGTATTTTAATTGCTAAATAACGAGGCTGCTCGTCAGTTTCTCGAAAATAATTTATTCTTTCCAGCGTGCTTAGTGATTATACTTTAGTTACTTGATAAAAATAAAAATTCATTCACTTCTCGTCTTTTTTTTTGTTTTGCAGAAACTATTTCTGTCAATGGAATCTCAGCGTACACAAATGTTAAGGAATGCTCTGTGCTGCGATTGCCGTACGCAGGCGGTAATGCTTTCATACTTGTTTTTAAATTTCGAATAGCAAACAAACGTTGGCAAATTTTTCACAAGAACGCGCCAATTTAAAGAATAATATTACTATGAGTTGACGCTCGTTAACCTCCTTTTCCGTATGCTGTATTGCCATTTTATATAAAAATAACAAGGCAATGGCATAAATGTGGACGAGTGATACTCCTTAATAAATTGCCACAACTAGCGATTTTGTTCAGAAAAACACTCAGGTATGATTTCATCACAGATCGTGCAAGGAACAAATGATGAGTTTTGAACAAATTCAGGAGAATATATATGTTGATGGGAATGTGTGCCTAAAAAAATGAAAATTAGAAATACGGAACATTTTTTGTTCCCGAGTTTTGGGCTCCCGAAGGGCATTTTTGCAGTATTCATGTGTGATACCATTTAGATTTCTGAAACTTTTTTTTTCCTTCTCAGCAATTCTAACTATTTTTACTGCTCCAAAGCTTCGTATAGAAATGATATGTTCTCTAAAGCTTTTTTTTAAAGCTTTTTGTATGTTGCATCTTTGACAATAGAACGCCAAGTTTTAATCGAGCTAGCTTTTGATGTACAACAATTTAAGGCATAAAAAGCTTATCAAATGAAAGTTTGTACCTAAGCCAAATTAAAATGTAGGATATTGTTAATTTAGTTAAAGTTTATATAAAAAACAAACACCATAAACTTAAGAAGAAATGGTAAATGTACAGATGTCAACATCATTAAGACAAATACGTATTTTTACAATTGTTCTTGCACGAAAAGCTTTTTGTGGGTTCTTAAATTTGCAATACAATTTCTATGATATATAGTTTCGTCATATGAAGCAGTGCTTTTGAAAAAAAAGCATATTTTTACATCAATTCAAAGAAGAAAAGATACAAGCCATCGTCAAGTCTTCTACGTGCTTATTATATATATATATATATATATATATATATATATATATATGCTTGTAACGTGACCATAGTATTTATAGTATATATCGTGTACCATTTACAAAAAAGAGGCATGAGCGGTATGTTGGAATTTTGCAATTTTTATGCTCATGTCCAGTTCACGTGTAAGATCTTAGGATTGACAACGTTTGTTAATTAAACTTATTGAAAAGTCTTTTTTATTTAAAAAGCATAAACGTTAAGTTTCAGAAACCGCGATGTCACTCAATGAAAGGTGAGATAAATTAGTTTAAGAAAGCTAGTGCGCCGAGTGCGTCATTTCGCTCGTTTCATGCGGCCGCATTTTCACGTTTACTGGCGTGGCTCGTTTAATACTAATTCACATTTTATCGATGAAATATGAGATCACACAGATAAACGAGGAAAATGCATAACAGTACATAGTATTTTTAGTATCATAAGCGAACAGTAAATTTTTGGTAATAAAAAAAGGTATTTTAACCGAGGTTATCATTACTCTTCAGGGTTCGCTTTCTTATTTCTTATCACAACACTGAAAGACCCGCCTGTATTTCAAGCCTTCATCCACATCTGCAAATGTTATTCACGAGAAAAAAAAAACACCATTTTATTTGGAGTCGGTCATGGTATTGGGCGAAACATGTTGCTTCACATTTCATGAGTAAATTCAAGGCAGTTCGCGGCGCTCTATTAAAAATTCTCATTTCTATGAGAAATTTTGGTGTCCAAGAAACGCATATAAACCATACAAGATATATAAGAACATATGATAACCATAAAAGAACCATGGAAGAACTATATAAGACCTATATAAGATATATAGGAACATACAAGCACCATATAAGAGACTTGTGAGAAGCTTCTTATACCTTCTTATATGGTTCGTCTATATCCTATATAGTTCTTAAATAGTTTTTATAAGGTTCTTATATGTTCTTATATTTCTTGTATGATTCATATGTGTTTATTGGACACATGAAATTTCTCGTACAAAGGACTTTTTTCACTAGGGCACTACACGAGAAAAATCATCAACACTTACAAGGTTTACAGTTTCGATGACCTGAAGTTGTGCGAGGCGGCTTGGTGCTTGAGGACTCCTCTCACGCCATTACACGTAGTTTTACCGTGTGACGTAGCTTTAAAAATCAATTTAGTCATCTCTTTTCTCTTGGTCATCTCGTACAGTTGAAAGCTATATTTGAAATTACTAGCCTCCCCGTCGTAGATGTAGACAAGTTTTGTAGATATCTGCATGTTTTCTGCGAGTCAATCTTAAACTGTGCGCACAGCGAACAGTGCGTGTGCTGTATTGTGCACGATGTCATCGCTGACAACTCAAAACGTGCAGATTTTAGCTCCTTTGTAGCGACGCAGATGGAGATAGACACGATTTGGTTCTTTCAATGAAAGCATTTTACTGATCGCAGAAGAACGATGCTCTAGGCTTTTCCTGAAAATTAAATTGTAAAACGATGGTATGAGCCTTAAAATGCGACTTTTCCGAGTGTAGGGCAAGCCGATGAGCATGGCGGATGAATTAATGGGGGAAATACGTTTTTACGCCATTTCTGAGCTCATTGCGAAATGCGTTACTTTCCAATTGTTTCTTTAGCAACTTGCTAGATTACCACAAAACTATTTCGATTTATTCGTCTTCCTTCCTTGGCAACAACTCCAGGGTAACTATCCCTTTAAGGACACTGCTTGCAGGTCAGCACAACGCACTCCTTCGTTGGGTTACCACACAATCAAACGTTCTTAGTGTTCTCAAGACAAAATTCATGGTCACCCGCGTTTAATAGTGCTGACAGGCAAAGAGTTGTTGCTCCATCTCTCGGTTTTGGTTGGCTGTGTTTAACACACTCAGATGAGATACCAGATATGTGAACAGCATAGAACCTGACTGCGAAGGAAAACGAAAGGGAAAAGCTGCCGCCTTTTAAGGCGGCGGCACATGTGCTTTAGCACTGGTATCGCTTCCTGGAAATCACAGGTTGTCTATAGCTTCTTCCTTTCTTTCATGTGCATAGATCGTCATATGGTGGTCGTTTGTAACGTTCATAGTGACCCTTTCTGTACTAAATAAGCAATCACGACAGCTATCTAAAAGGGGTCCCAAACTAAGGTTAATTTTTTTTTTTAAATTGACGTTGAATTTTTTATTTTTAGCTTTTTCCTCATCTTCAGAGTGTCGTTTATTTTATATAAACAATACTTAAATTAACAATAATATATTTTATATAGGCTTAGACACAAGTTGTCATTTGATATGATTCGTATGCCTTAAACAATTGTTCATTGAAAGCTAGCTCGATTCAAACTTGGCCCTTTATTCCCAAAGGTGCAAGGTTCAGGATTGTCTATTTTATAAAATTAAATAAAAACGCACTTCTCGTGGCCTTTAACCATTTTATATCAGTAATTAACGAAGTAAAAAAACCGACCAATGTTCTGAGACAGATAAACTAAACGTTGCGAGACTCTAAAATGTGTCCCTAGTGAAAACAAAACAAAAATCGCAGGACCTATCTCTGCTTTTTGGACACCCACAAATCAAGGACAAAGCTAATTCAATAGTTCTAATTTGCAGCTTTGTTCTAGGCAGTCATTTTCCACAAGCATATATTTTTCCAAAATTGTTTGAGGAAACATCAGTTCTTCTTGCACGATTGAAGATGAAATCCCTCTAAACTTTATGCTGTCACATTTTTTGGGGGTCATTATATCTTTCATTTGTTTACCTGTGGCAGGACAACACGTTTTCCTAATGACATACTGTATAATTCTATATTGAGATTTATTTAAAGTAGGTATGCCAACCAACGTTCATACGGTCTCCCAACTTTTTATCTCTCCAGAAGGCAAATGCATACTCATCGTTCCCGAGAGCAGACTGGATACTATTGAACCCTGCTGCAATTATACATTTGATCTTCTCTGTGGTGCAACTCCGAAGTTCAACATTTTCGACAGCAGCTGCAAATAGCAGGCTTAAAGCTTTGACCAGCCTGATTGGTAAAGTCAAGGTATATATACAAGCACGCTCAAGATGGTGGATTGTGGTGAATGGGTGCAATAAACGCAATTCTGAACTTTCTGGCATTAAAGGTTGAACTGTACTCACTTATTCTAATTTTTTTCCCCTATTTTAAAACATGTTTTCCTAATGGAAGGAAAATCGCGTATTAACCACAAACAAAAATGCAGTGCGTCATTCTTATTATGTCTACCCACGCAAACATTGTGTTAATCATGAATTCCAATGGTGATGTGAAGACGACCAATCAACGATACAAGCGATGCTATTTTTATGGCCACCAATATTAATGAACTACAAGGTTGCAGTTAGGGGACTAATCTGAATAAGCACAAGTCATACCGCGGTACAATTTAACAATCACGCGTTCCCAATGGTGGAACAGTTATACTTATGCAGCACTTCCTGCAACACAACGTAAGTGGCACTCATGCGTGACTCGATCTGATTCTCGAAGTTCAACTTCGAGCCCTTGGTTCTGGAAAGTGCATCATCAGCCAACAAATTGATAAGCTTTGCTCACCTAGAGAACTCAAACCACAACAACGCCACTACCCTGCGTGGCCAACTGGTTCCTTGATTTACACTTGTGAACTAGAGGGCACATATACGTAGATTGCTGCCTTAGTCATATCAACGTTCTTTTCATTTCTATTTATGCATGTCTTTGAAATTCATTAGAACTTACACATGCAGCGAATTCTCCTAAACAAGCACCTCTAATTAAGTTTTCTGCCGAAGAAAGTGTAACAGGCTCGTTATTTGCATGTGCTGGATCGATCCATTTCAGAAGGCACAAATTTAAGGCGAACATTTGCCTCAGTGCTTTGATGGCCGGTTCAATAGGGTGTCCTATCAAAGGCGTACATATATCGAACGGGTGTCCGTATCAAACGAGTACTCAAGCAGCACTCTTGTTTCGACTAACTGGAGCCAGGATTGGGTACTGGCCAGAATGGACTAGACTGGAACTGCCCAATGAATTCGGTCAACTGCTATCCTGGCGTGTCACTGTATTTCCCGAACACAGAAATTAAAAAAAAAACTGCCAGTTTAATCAATTTCATTGGCGTTCCTTGCTTTTTTTTTGTCTGTACCGATTGTGGTGTGCAAGCGGCAACCAAGATTGAATTTTTATTGGCACTTCGCTGTGTGCTTTTTCCCCAGGATTCCACGGGACTACCAGGGAAGTGGTTTACTTGGCGTTCCTTGTTTCTTTTCTTGGTCCGATCCGACCAGGGTAGACAGGAGGCCGCCAACATTCAAGGTTATGTGGCGTTTTACTGTGTTCACTAGCGCCAGGATTCAACAGAACTGCCAGGGAAGTCTTTTGGGTGTCGTTCATTGGCCTCCCGTTTATTATTTCTTGACTTTAGCTTGCTCTTCATCGGACCCTAAAGTACCGGCTACGGCCGCCTCTACTTACATAGACTTCGAATTCATTTTTATAACGCAGCCCTTAGGCGCCCGTTTCCGGCCTGAGTAGCGTCGCCGTCGCCATCGCCGTCGGCGTAACCGCGCGTTGCATTATGGGACGTTTCCCATAATGACGTCACACGTGAAGTCACGTGTGACGTTACGAGAGCGAGGAGTAAAGTTAAACTGGTCACTTGTCTCTCGAGTGACGTCACGAAGGCCACGACAAAGGTCACGAGGCCTTCACGAGTGACGCCACCAGGGTCACTAGGATCACAAGTGACGTTACGAGGGTCACGATTGACGTCACGAGAGAGCAGGGAGGGGAGGAGGAAGGAAGGAGGAGGGGAGGCAAAGAAGAAGAGGAGGAGGAGGGAGGAGAAGAGAGGGAGGAAAATGTGAGGAGGAGGAGGGGAGGAGGAGGAAGGAGGAGAGAAGGAAAGGAGGCGGCGGAGGAGGGGCATTCCCTCCTCTCCGTACCCTCCCCTTCTCCTCCTCAAGAGCTGCACTCCAGCTCGGCATTACAGAGAATTATAAAAGTTTTAATTTTTTACTCTCTGCTTAAATTTGGTTCTAATGCCACTATCAAAATGCCCTCAGCGTAGCTGCGGCCCTACACCGTTAGCAAGTTCCGTGTATTAGGTGAATATTTGGGGTGAAGAACACGCTAATTACCATACATTTACACGTTGAGTAACGGATAATTCGTTCAAAAATTATGCGAATTTGCAATAAACGTGTTTTGGATCGGTCATACACGGATAACCGTGTAGCCAAACATGAAAACACGCATCATTCCCAGTGACGACCGCAGCATTGCCGGCTATCGAAGCATCAGAATGCTTGGGGACACACCTAGAAAGGACCGTGGAGACAAATGCCGCGGAAAGAAACATGTCTCGGAAACAGATACGCACGAAAAGCAATTACTCCATGTCGCGGGACGCGGCGAAGCTCGCGCTTACCGTGCTCGCTGCCATTGATTTGGTCGATGGCAATGCGGCTTCCCTGACGTCGCCCAAGTTTGTATTTATATTAGTGGTCTTGATAATTGTTCCTTACACACCCCAAATATAGTTATAAGCCTAATTACTCGTTCTAAACCGTTAAAATGAATATGAAAAGTGTGCCCTCGATCTAAACATGTGACATTGCAGTTTGCTTCGTTTTGGCTTCAACTGCAAGCGAAGGTGCCGCCCGTGCAGCCGCTTCCCATGCACCCTCCTCAAAACTTCTGGCGCTCCGTGGTGGCCGCCATATTAAAACTTTATACCACTGTTGCTGCATCTGTAGGTCATCTTTAAAGGACCGGTGCAACAATATTCAATGGGAATGTTTTTCACTTTACACGAGCTTACTGGCACTAGTGGGCCTGAAGGATACTCGCACGCAACGCCACTGGCCAAAAACTCCTATGTTGCGGTGTAATTCCAAGGACAAAAGCGACCAATTCTATTAAATTTCTCCTTTGCGAAATTTGATGACGTAACGTGGGGATCGCAGTACACCCCAATGAGGATATTTGAATGCGGTTCATAGATTGGACCCGGGCATCGCGTGCGGCACTCGATTTGGGCTCGTGATAATTACAAGCTCGAGAAGCATTCGGGTAGTGGCCCGTGTCCAATCGCTCCAACGACGACAATAGCCGAGCTATAACAATGTCTGGAACTCAGCGCGTGTCCTGTGCTTTGCCGACCCCAGCCCGTGGCTATGATCAACATTGCGTGGCCGCTTGTTCTGGCAACGAGTTGAGGGAATGCACTTTGCTCGTTTTTCTTTAATTTTTTTCTGGAACTTGTATTGCGTCGGGTGAAAAACGAAAGCTTGTTTCATAGGTAATTAACGTCAGGGATCCGTTCTGAAAGGTATTTGCGTAAAGTACAAAAATTTTTGCATCGCCCCTTTAAGTTAGAGCTGGCAGAGAATATCTGGCCACGGCGCACCACCGATGTGCGCTGCAATCTAGAGCCGGTTTGCTTCCGTTGTTTTTGTTCGGTTGGACAACAGCTGGCAACAACGCACGTTTTACATGGCGCCGGTATTGTTTTGGTTGGACGGGAATGAGGGAAGCTCCTCGATTTGCGAGCACATGTAGCGAAGACGTGACCGGAGAAGTGCCCCTGTGATGTTCCCGGGAGACGGAAAGTATCATTCGTAATCGTCGTGTGCGCTTGGAAAGTGAAGGGAGTCACAGGGCCCACGAATGCACAACCACAAGCCAAGGTTCACGACAGCGCTGCGTTGACTTCGGCGATCTCGTTTTGTTTGGTGCAACACGGCGATGCGAAAAAGAGCTGACACGTTCGTGGTGTGTGGTGCGGTGCTTGGAGGTAGAAAGCCACACTAACACGGAGCGCAGATTGGTTGTTCAGGCGTTGAGGTTGAACGGGCTCAGTCTCGTCGTCGTCAGCTGATTAGGTCCAACTGGTCCGTGAGGACGCAGCGAGCGTTTTTAAAAGTAAATCTTCCTTCGTTCTGTTTCAAAATGTGGAAGATTCCCGACGCATTCCGTAAGTAAAAACCTGCGGGCGTTTTCAATAAAATTATGTCGTTTTAATAAAACAATGGAATTTGGGTTGTTGTCCTAAATCTGCCGTTTTTATGCTTCGTGTTGCTGGACTGCGTTTGCACAGCGGCGTGTTTGCACAGCGACGCACACCGCTCGGGTAGATGATTCGGCCCTGCAATCGACCGGTTATACAGAATTTCAGGGAAACTTAAGTCACCACCGATATTTTCCTGTAAATCTCATGCGAGTTTGTTTCGCTTATCATGCGGTGTGAATAAATTGGAGCAAGAGTTCCTACCTGCCCACAGATGCATGAACGCAGACAATTTTTTTACGTAGTGAACATAGTGCTTTCTCTTTATTTTCGGAAAAGGCTGTGGTGCATTTATATAGGTACAATCACTTGAGAGTCGAAAAATTAGGGAAAGCGAGCAAGCTTCACAACTTTGTCTCTTTACTCTCCGGCAGGGATGGGCAAAATACATGCAAATATGTATCGAAATACAAATACAAAATACTTTATCAAAAATGTATTTAATTACAAATCTCATTACATTTCCAAAAAAGCATTTAAATACAAGATATAATTACAACCAAATGTATTTGGTCTCCTCCAAATACTTTTCCAAATACATTCCTCAAAATTTGCGTCAGCGACTTCAGGGAACGTGGAACGGGTTTCTGGGTATCTCATTTTAATTTTGCATCGCACACTCCGGCGTTAGTGTGCGAGACTCTAATAACGTAATAGAAATATAATTAAAAAAATGTAATCAGCTTGGACGTAATAGGTAAAAAAAGTACAGAGCTTCAAGCAGCTTTTTCTGTCGCTTACATTTTGGTATAGATCAACAAAGAACCAAGACGACCAAGACGCGCAGCTCTAGCTTGAGAATTTTTTATTGTTGCAACTCGCACCACTTACGAAAATCTGGACGACCCGCGCGTGTAGAATGTTCCAGGAAAAAATATGGATGGAAATCTATTTATTTCCTTATTTATTTACCCTAAAAACCCTTTCGGGCATTACATAGGAAGGCAGGGCAATCATAGACAAAGGTAGTGCACTTTGTTGACAAAAAGATGACGTTGGCGCAACATA